TCTGCTCCTGCCAGTCACGGCTCCAAACGCTTTGCTCCTGTTGGGACTGGCCATCTGATGATGGACTGCTGGGCTCAGCGGCTGGATCCTCTAGGATCTTCATGTTCAGCTGTCAGTTCTTCCCACTGCTTTGAGCACAGCCTCAAAGCTTGAAATGAAAAAAAAATTCATCTTGGTTTTAAGTTCAGATGTGAAAATACCTGTTGAAGAGAAGATACCAAATACCAGCTGTGGGTTATTCAAGTGCTGTCCTTGGCTTCGTGGTCTGTAGAGTGAAAACATGTTTTTACCATGATAGTAATGATGTGATTGCAACCAAGCTGTAGTGTTTGGATAGCTGCGTTGAGGGTTACAAGCCTGTGTGATCCTGGTCCTTGAGGATGACTTGTTTGACAGCATGGAGGTACAAAATCAAGTGCATCGATGCAGATACAGACTTTCTCACTCTACCATGGGAAAAGAACTTGACTCTCCTTGGCAAGATGGTAAAACACCTCTCCGGGGCGCTGTCCCTTGACCTCACCTTTCTCCAGGAATTTCTCCACGATTTTCTGTTGCAAGACCCTTCTGTTCCTGGCTTTTCCCATGCTTTGTTTCCTTCTGTAAGTGTTCTGTCCCTTGCAATGAGCAGGTAGCCGGTGGTGTTGCCCTGCACAGGACAAGGGGAAGGGACCATGCAGTGGGGCAGCTGCACTGTCCTCTGCTGCACTGTTGGCTGCAGATACAGCTGCTCCATCTGGATATCTATTTTGTCTCCAAGTCTCCAGTGCTTCTGGACATTGGGCATCAGAGGAGGTGATAACAGAATGATACTGTTGTGCAGTAAAACAGCCTTTTCCAGCTTCAGAAGGTCTTGGCCTGTGTCTTGTTACTTGGGGTGTTCAAGAAAAAGGGCTGTGGCCACCTTAGGTGCATCTGCCTTGCCCAAACGCTGTCGTGGACCCCAAGCACCGTGATGAGTATGGGGCTCTTATTTTGCTTGTGCTCAGCAATTGTTGCAGCCTTTGGAGAGGATCAACTCGAGCCCGGCTGGCAGGAGGGTGGAAGGGAGTGTGTGTGGGCTGAGGTAATGGAAAACAGGGCCAGGATGGGTGGTGGTTCTGGGCTTCTTGCCACCCAGACGGTCCCTCAGGGGCTAAGTTCATGCTGGAACATGCTCTCTGTCCTCTCCTTCTCTAGAAATCTTACCCAGATACCCCAAGCTACGTCCTGTCTCCTTCCCACATGCCATTACTGACTGGCAGCCAAACTCTCCCAACTTTTCCTTCCCTCTTTGTGGAACAAGCATATGGATCCCTATTCCTCTTTACTGTTTTCCCAAAGGGGGATCAAAGGCTGGATCCTACTTCACAAAATGTCATAGAAAGAGCTGCAAATGAAGGGGGTGGTTTGGAGCTGAGTGTCCGATGGAGCGGAGCGCCTTTATTGCCTGGCCTTGTCCGACGGGCAGTAGGTCCTGGCAAGCGGCAGCGAGCGCAATCGGTTGTGTCGAGTGAGGTTTGGAGGTTTTGGGATGTGGTATTTATTAAGGGTTGCTTTGTCTGGGTCCTGGCTCTCGTAAGCTGAAGGAGGAGAGCTGAGCTGATGGGTGCAGGAGAAGCGGTGCGGGGCTCCGAGGTGTGTCGGAAAGGGTGCGACTAGTCCTTCCTCTTGCAGGCAGCCAAGGGATCCCTTGCTCTCTACTCGGTGGTTGGTTTTTACCTACTTTTACACTTTTGGGAGCAATTCTGAGTGCTATGTTGAATCAGCTCTTCAGGGGCTGGCTGTTGGGTTGTCTGTTATGGAAGTGGATTTTAAGAGTGGATTTAAAACCATGCCTTATTTGGGCCAAATAAATCAAATACATAATCTTAATTAATATTTAATGTAAGTGTGCCGTGAAGACCACTGGGCTCTTCTAATTGTATGCATGGATGGCCTGTGGTCAGTTGTATGGGGATGACTTCTGCTCTGCTCCTTACTGTCTTCAGAAACTTTCGTCTCCCCTTCCACCGTGTCTGTCAACTCTCCTTAACCAAGCCAGAAGAGCCTTTATAGGAAAAAGGAGTCTGGGAGAAAACAAAAAATGAGAAAAGGCAATAAATTAAAGAGAAAAAGGTGGTTAAGGGTCAAAAGTAAGAACAGGAAAAGGGCACCCTCAGTGGGGTGCTCAGCAGGGCACCTCCAACAGTGTCTGCCTGTTCCAGCATGTCCGGGTGGGCAGCGATGCGCTGCTGCCTGCAGACGTGTCCAGCCAAGGGCTGGAAGTGGCCATACTTCAACAGTAGATGGCAACAGGAGGGAACATACTGGGGCTGCTCAAACTAGAATTGGTGCGCCTGGTTCATCGTAGACTTGGTGTTTGGTTTATGCTGGTACTAGAAACAGTCTTTGTTTTAAACTGAAGACAATGTTCTTAGAAGGGTCCTACACTCTTACTCAAGATCCCTTCACTAATTGCTGGGGCTGTTAGCCTGCTGAGCCCGATCCAATTCTGACTTATCTGGTATTTAAGAGAAAATTAGTTCCTCTTGAATAAGGATATAAATTTTCAGAGCCGTTTTCAAGTTAAGCACAAGGGTTTTGATTTTTTTTTTTTCATGAAAAATAACTGCAGGGAGAGTTGAAAGCGTGTTGCAGCTTGTTGAGGCACTTGGCCTCTCACTGCTGTAGCCGCCTTCATCCGCACTTGATTCATGTAACTTCTTCCCCATTACTCTTCACACTTGTCCTGAAGTTTGTCATGATGATGTTCTCTTCTCCCAAGAGTGCCCTTGCTGAGAGACTTCTAGGGACAAACCACGCTATAGTGAGGCAATGATGTATCTTCCCAGAGTCGCTTCCCATAGTACCTGCTGCTTTAGCAGTTCCCTGTGTCAATGTGTGCCTGTGGACACTGAGACGGTGGACAACACAGCTAAGATAAAGCTTTCCATTTAGTAATAAGGCCACCTCTGACTTTTAGGACACTTCCTTGTCCCTTAACTCTCTTTCCTGTATTTAGAACATTTTCCTT